ACTAACCACACTCCCCCCTCCTAGATTCCTCATTATGAGAAATGAAATTAATTCGAAATTTGATCACTGCTATGTTTAATTAATTTGCAGAGAGGTGCACAAAGGATGTATTGTCATAAAATTTCTGATAATTAATTAATAACTTGTTAATTCATATTTGATAAAATTTATTTATTTAACTTATCTATTTTTATATATATAATCGTTTAATTAATTAGATATGGCCTTTACCGATTGCATTAAATAAGGCTTGGACTTCTTAGTAGCAACTTGTGTTTCCTATTAATTAATTCCGTGATCGAACGATATTCTTGGATAGAATCAGGTACCGAATCGAGAGAGGTTTACGATTGTGAAACTGATAGTCGATCTTATCATTGATGACTGACTGATATACTTTTCTTTGGTTTCAGGTCTCGAGAGAACGGTGAGTGAGCTTTCGCGAGGAGCCAGGCGGAGCGAGCAGCCAACCCGAGGATGCCGCTTCCGAAAAGACTGGTGGAGCCCGTGCATGTAGCACGCGGCACTATCCCTGAGGACTTCCCATTGCCGTCGGAGTTAGAGGCGGCTACCAATGGCACCTTAGCCAACACTATCAGACAACTATCTAGCTTATCTAGGCACGCCGAGGATCTATTTGGCGAACTGGCAAGGGAGGCTCACGGGTTGAGTGACCGGGCTAACTCACTGCAAGCTAGGATAGACCGTTTGGCTGTCAAGGTCACTCAGCTAGACAGTAACGTCGAGGAAGGTATGTACAAATGAAGGGAAAAAGAAACACTTAAGGCCGAAACGTCCGGCCTTAATAACAATTGCATTGTTTTATTTATGAGAAATAGCATAACAATAACATTAATACTATTAATATTAGTAATAATAGTAGTATGTATATTTATTTCTTAATTGCACTATATACATCTGATATTATACTATATTATATGATATACTATATAAGTACATAGACTCTTGTTTGACTTTTTTCCTATCATTATTGATTGCACATCTTAAAAAAAACAGAGATTCGTATTTTTATTAAAATAAAATAACTACTTATTATTTTAAAACTCTTGAATTTTCAATTACGAAAAATATTAATAGACCTGCGAGAGATAATATTAATATTAATAAAAATCCAAAAAATTGTGACCGAAAACATTTAGTTGATTAAGAAGTAAGGTAAAAGCTTCTTTGATAAGGTAACGATGAAAATTATTTTTATAACGAACTAATAATGACTCTCACAGACCTCTTAATGTTTCTTGTGATTAAAAAAGATAATGAGAAATTGGACGAATAAGTAACGACTAACATCTGTTTCCCTTCTCTGCACAGTCTCACTTCAAGACATACACATGAGGAAAGCGTTCAAGTCCTCCGTGGTATTCGACCAGCAAGTTGTCTCGAGGGACACGATGCCCACGGCGATGCTGGAGACGTATCACCAGTGTGACACGCCGCCGCCGTTAGATAAGCTGAATATTTACAGGTGATTATAGCTAACGCGTTCAAACTTTCGTCGATCAATCTTCATGAGTTTAATTCCAAAATAGATTTTTGACTCTCGAAATTGTCTTTTTAGGGAGGACGGCAAAGACGGTCTGAAGTTCTATACTGACCCGAATTACTTCTTCGATCTGTGGAGTCAGGAGATGCTCAAAGACACGGAGAAGAAGCTGCATGATCGGGGGAAGAAGGTAAGAGCCCTCGCGGGATAACGTGTTCAAAGGCGCACTTCAACGACTGCGAAGTTTCGCGGCTATAAAACACGATATGGATATACATTCGTCGAACCTGATCGACTAATGTCACGACGAGAACATTAATGGAGTTTTAAATCTTTTCTTCAATTTTCCCCGTAGTCGTCGAGGTGCGCGAGCTCCTGAATAGAACCAAGATCTGTTCGTGTTAGCTGAACTGGATTGCACTTTTCGCTATTAGAGTGAAACAAGTATGTAACCTAGCGTTAAAGGGAAAAGAAATGAAATGTCAGTGCAGCACTAGTTCATCTAAAAAGAACAGGCCTCTGATCAATCTTATGATATGAAGTAACATCTGATCTGCTGCGATTCTAACTACTGAAACTATATCCCCTTCGTTGTAGAGCGAGTCTGAATATGCCGAACCGTTCAGAGAGGCAAGTCGATGGTTTGGATCTTTTTTTGTAGTTTTTTCTCTCTTTTACACCCTCCTACGATACATCCAGTCTGTTTCTCTCAGTGAATCGACCGATCGCCCAAACTCATCGCACTCATCGTATATAATCAGTACTCTCACCTTTCTCTCTTTCTCTTTTTATGGTTTTTCTTTCATTAACCGACCGTTTTGCGCTGACATAGAGACTGACGCTATAGATGCTCGCTTTCTCAAAGTTACGTAGTTACGCTGACCACTCTTCTCTCAGTGGGGATACACACTCCACGTTCACTGTGCGTAGATCGAACGCGTGAGAACGTCGCTTCCTGATCGAGGTCCTGTATTCTCGGCAGGAGGAGCGCGATGTTCCATCTACGCGGGGTCTGAAGTTCCCCCTCTCCCTCTCCCTACTGCAAACTGAGTTGTGTTCTTGAAATACGAAACAAGTTCACCCACCGTCACTTTGTGAATCACTTATGTAATGCCGTTCGTTGCCAGTCATGCAAGTTTTGAATGTACTTATTACATATAGAATTGCGTCATATACTCATCATCTGCCACAAACCATCTTCGAGCGATTACCCTCATGATCTCAGTCGTCTCATCATTCACATTTCAGGAATATATCTCATCTCCATCTTGTCATGTTTGTTACGTAGGAAATAAAACTGTCCGTGGAAAATGAATCTTTTTTACAATGATGTCGTATCTCCGTCAAAATTGATCAACGCAGAGAAGATCTTTCGCGGAGAGAGTATTTCACTTTTATTTCCTACACACATATATATATTCTCATATCCCACTTAACTATTGATCCAGTAAAGTCTGATTCATCCGAAAAATGTGCAGTGCGGTGTCACCCTAAGAGCTTTATCGATGTGCAAAAATAAGAGTCATCCTTGATCACAACTCGGCGCAAACGCGCTCAAACTGTTACATCTCTCGATCACCAGCCACTGGATCAATCGTCGGGACGTTCTTGATTTGAAACCGATTGTGCTTGACTTACATGCGATGCACCTTGTTCGTCCTCCCGCTTCGCGCGACGCGTTTTAATTCGCTCTCTTCTGCGATACACAGCCGCACAGGCCTCGGAACGAGGATGGCGGCGGAGGAGGCGGCAGACACAAGAAGCGCGTGAGACAACCTCACAACACCAGGGAACGACAACGACAGTTGGCCGTTGGACACGGCGAGTACATCATGCCGACGCAAGGCATACAGTACAGAGCGCCTCACAACGTGCCCGATGATGCGTTGTTGGGCATGGTGATGACGGAACCGCGTCCACCTAGGCCCAACAGTATCGAGTTGCAGCGAAGCTACCCGCCAGAGGGACAGCATCTCTACAGTCCTCCGTCTTCCGATCACTACAGGTAGGGAGATCGTGGCGAATAAGTCTGTATAGTTATATTATACAGACTTCTACTGTATAGTTATACAATATAATATAGCAATACTATTACTATCACACACGTTATGATAGAATGATATTATAATTATACTATACTATTCTACTATTAACTTATTATGCTTCAATTTAGTTAGCTTATTGTATTTCCCAACATTTTCATATTATTACATCCAATCAATTTTCTCGCAACAGGGCGGCAAACTACGTCGCTCAGGGCTATGACGAGAACCCATATGGCTCGCACTACGCTCCGGGTCAGGTACCAGCCGGCAGTGAGACGTATCAAAGTCCTGGCGGTCAAAGCACGCCAAGCCGGGGTGGCAGGTCGCGGCCGTCGCAGCCACCGCCAGCACCGCCGAGTAACGCTTCCAGCAATTCTACGCCCACGGTAGCGTCCGCTAACAATACACCGACAAGGGGAAGATCTATGAGCACCGGCAGGGATACTTTGCCACCACCACCTCCGCCACCAGGAGAAACCATGTCTCCACCTTCCATGAACGGTACCTCTCTTTTATTCCTAATTATTCCAGTGTTACTTCCAGTTGTGATGTAATCAGTATGATTCTTAGTAACGATTGTTTCCTCCTTATATACTTCTAATTTATATAGTCTTATAGTTCATGACACAATTTGAATAACAATAATAATGTTCATGTAATTATATTTTTTTATATTTCTATGTGTGTGTATGTATGTGTATGTATGTGTGTATTATGTTTTCTATATATAATTTTATATAATAAATAATTTCTACCAATGTGTTACAGGTTCTATACCGTCGCACTTGCTGAACAGAAACGGCAGTCGGTCAGACAGTCCATTACCAAGTCGACGCTCCACGCCGACGCCACCGAACCACTCGGGGCAGTTAGGTGTAGACGAGACAGATCCCGCACCCCAAGATCTTCCGCCGCCACCGCCCACTCCTGATCCAACTCCACCGAGACCTATTTCACCTCCGTGCAACATACCGCCGCCACCACCACCTCCGCCGCCGCCACCAGTCATCAACGGTCCCGTAGTGGCGCCGCTGACGAACGGCGACATTGCGAAGATGATCGCGACCAACCCTCCGAAGCTGAAGCCTCTGAAGAGCATCATGGCGGACGGCCAGCTAAGGAAACCCGTCAACCCGAACATTCCGTTGGTTGACCCGCGGAACGATTTGCTCAAGGCAATTCGTGACGGTGAGTTCTCGATAAGATCACGAAGAAGAGAGATGTCTTCTTTTATTTATAGTTAAAGGTCATAATAATTGCACTATCATTTTCAGTTAAAGGAATCAGTCTGTTTCTTGCACTGGTTCATCTCAATGGTTTTAATCTCACTGAAATTACAATCATTTCTCGTGCAAACCATATTTCTTTATTGTTCTTTTTTGTTCTTGCAAAAAAATTGTGTAGAAATTTCATATTAAGGCTACTTTTTATTAAAGGCACTGCTATAATTGGTAATATTGATAAAAACAAAAATAAAATTACATATTATTCGAGTGATTTTCTCAATAAAAAGAGACATAAGTGGAATACTAGTGAATTAAAGTGTTGGTCTCACATGTAGTCGTTTCTCACTCGTTGTATCACGAATTTTCAGGTATAAAGTTGCGCAAGGTAGAGAAAATCGAGCAGAAGGAGGTGGAGCGCGTGAATGCACTCAACGACGTCGCTTCCATCCTGGCGCGCCGCGTCGCCGTCGAGTTCAGTGATAGCGACTCAGCCTCGGAGAGCGAGTGCGACAGCGAAGGATGGGGCGAGCAGGAGAGCAATCTGGCGTGACCCAACTCTCTGCCATCCGCCGCCGCCGCCGCCACTGCCTCCTAGGGAAAGGCTGACGATTCTCTCGATTCTTTCGTGTCTCCGTGACCAAACAACTGGTCTTTGAGAATCCGTTAGAACATTTGCACGCTTCAAACTCATGTTACATTAAGCGAGTCTGGATCTTCTCGGGACTGGAATCAAGCGAATCCTCGGTTACAAGTACGTTCATGCTTTCAACGAAGATCGTTTGTCGCGGAGGATATGTCGTAAGGATATGACCTTATTAATAGATTAATTTATTAGTCGCTCACACACCGAATGCGCAAACAAAGACAGTCTGTTGTTTAATCTTTTTACATTCGCTTCTCCCTTTTAACACGTTACATTAAATACGAGAGGAATCTAAGAGGAACTATCGTTTTTTATCATTATCAATTTGTCGATTTCCTGCTTCAAAATTGATCTTATTAAAAGAAAGAAAAATATTTAAACTCCGAAATTCGGAGAGCAAAGGAAAAATATATTTGATCTACGAAGTATGATGTCATTTACTAACACGTTGATTGCCATCGGGGTTATCAGTGCCCAGAGCGGCCCATTTCACTAATTTACGTGTAATCAATTGGATAAAACAAATTAAACATATAGCCAGTAAGACGTCAATGAAACGAGTTAGCGACTATATATATCGCGAATTACATTTATTGATCTGTTTTAGCTGATTATCGAAACAATCGATGTAAATCAACGATGGCAGTCAACGTGTTCAGATATCTCTGCGTTCCGACGATTTCACGTGATCGTCAGCCACGAGTCGTCTATTTTTAAACTCTCTCTCACCCGTCAGTCAGTCCGCAGTACCGAATATCGGCCAGCCAATCAGTCATAGACGCAGCAGCAGCACACTCAGTTTTAGTTTAATCACTCTCTCTATCTCCGTAGGACGTTGTCGAGGACACGCTAATTGCGGCCAATTTAATCGCGACGTAGCTTTCGTTACGGCGAATCGCGCGACACAGTTCCGAAGTGCAGCGAACGGGAACTCGTGAGCTCGTCTAGGGCGCACGCACACGCGAGGTTCACGCACTAGGTTATTAAAGTAATAACGTAGGAAAGCTGTCGATCCAGTTGCAAACTCCCTGAGAAAACAGGGAGCCGCTTGAAGAAGCTTAAAGAAACGATTGACAGCGACTGAACGCCACGCGTTTATCAACGCACCGCCGGCCATCTCGTGTCTCGAAGTGTTCACCGAGCGGCATTTCCGGCTCGTGCAGCCATCGTCTCAGGAGTTTTAATTTAGAAATTGCTATATTGCACTATTAATAATTATTGTATTATTTTGTAATATTATCAGAACGAGCGTGTTATGTAAGTTCACCGATCGAAGTTATCTCTTCTTACATTTCATAATTTGTGTAAATTTCGATGATAAGGTTAATTAAGCGGAGCTATAAAATAGCTCTTGCGAATTTCGATACTTTGTAATTAGCGCGTGTCGTTCAAGCTGTCAGCGGGATGCGCACACAGAGAAGTGAAGAAGAGAAAGTGGACATCGGAACTTTGCCGAAGTCGTAGCTCGACCAGCTCGCCGCTCGCCAGGTAGAGCGACTTCCTTTCCCGGCACATTCCATAGCGATGTTGTACGACGCATACGACGATCGTTCACTCACTCACGTTATAATTAAAAGGAGGAATGATAACGATAATAGCATAATAATAATAATAATAATAATGATGATAATATATATATATATATATATATAAGTATCTACTTACCCCAATAGACGAAGCGCTCCGCGTTAACGAGATGCCGTACATAAGTCAACGAGATGCCGACAGAAGTCGACGCGAGTTAAACCAAAAGGCAAGGCTTAGGTATTCTCTCTCTCTCGTGTGCGAGAAACTGTAAAATGAAAACTCTATCTATCTGTTTATCTCGCGGTCTTCTCGTATATCTCGCTTGGTCATCCACACAGAGAAGAGTCCTCCGCTAGTGGATCTCTCTATCTGCCGCATTTCCGAGCCGCGATCTTCCATGCCACGTTGGCAGGCGTTGAAGAGTGGTGATGAGTTGTCAGGGTGACGTGAAAGTTATTGATCGCATGAATATCTGCATATCGCGCGAATAATTATTTTTGTATAATAATTACGTAATAACAAAAGAGAGAGACAGTAAGACGGGAACCAGTAAGATTGCAAGGTGTTAGGCGCATCAATTTAAACTTTATATTTAAAACACTTGACATCTTGCAAACTTTACCAGGCTTCATTTTATTTTCATTGGATATCTACAGAGTCAACAAATAATTATAGTTAATTACTATATTATATATTATATAATTTATATAATTAATTATATATTATATATATATAAGGTCCCAGACTCTCTTCCACATATTTTATAGGAACGTTGAAGAGCATGAAGAAAAAATTACTACATGATTGTGCATCATAATATACAAATTTTCTTTAATATCTAAAAATTTATGTGGTTATTTGCAAAATGGTAGATGACTTTTTTGTTCACTTTAATCTAATGTAAGTGTACAACGGTAGACAACGCCATATCTATCATATGCAGCTCATCTATTATATTGCGCGTGATCATTCACCAATCTTCATTAATTAATATCTCGACTATTATTGCAAATACCACAAAACGGTGTAGACTTTTATATTTACCTCAACTTATTCTACATACCCACAAAATGTGCAGAGGAGAGTCTGGGACACCCTGTATAATATAATTATTATACTTATGTTGATTTAATAATTCTGTCTCTCTCAATTTTCACATGTATAACATGTTGTCGCGCGATGTAATATTTTCACACGTACACACATATCGCTACACACGACGATCTTTCTTTTTAACGAGATAAAATGGAAAACGGGAATTTTATTTAGAAACGCCCGAGAGAGAGCCAGGCGATCACTTTTCACAGCGTTCACCCTGCGGTAAAGTCCCTCTGTCGAGAAACCAAAATACTCCATTAAGCGTAGGACGCGACGGCGGTGCGACTAAACGCGGATGAGGATCGATATTTTTTAGTGTATACTTTTAGCGTAACTTGACTCGGGCGAGAAAGAGACAGGGAGAGAATATAAAAATATATATATAAATATAAATATTGAACCGCGTATCGCGTTGTTAACGATGGGGAGCGCACAGTTGCCAATTGATACGTTAACGGGAAGGGGAGAAATGATTGTGATTTATTTTGCATCGATATTTTGGCGAAGTAACGACGACTACTACGACGACGACGACTCTAGATAAGCCGAATACACATATGTATACATTATACAGATATATATATATATATATATATATATATATATATATATATATATATATATATA